GTGTCTGTCTCCCGAATCCAAACTGGAAGCTGGTTCCACAGAAGAGGGGCCTGAAAACTGAAGGCTCTCCCTCCCATTGTACTTTGTTCAGTTCTGTTCTGAATGTTCTCCTTTAAATATCCTTCCACTGACTCAAGTTGCTACAATTATATTCAGTCTTGACAGTCTCTCACTGAGAGGTGAATTTATAATTTAAAGCCATATGTAGTTTGAAAGAAAATGACAAGCATTCTGTCACGGCCACTTCTCGTCTGAAGAGATGCCTTTACAAGTGGAAACGGTGAAGTCTTCAACTGGAAAGAGACCCTGCTCACATTACAATTAATGACCATCCACACAAAACTCAGGTCAGTTTGAAGCAGAGGTTGATGTTTTCTCTCTGTACAAGCTTGGAGTGAGTAGGGAAATCACAGACCAAAGGTGCAAGGGGTCACAATGGCACTTCAGATAATTTTTTTGTGCTCTTCGCTCCGTTTCAGGCAAGTCCCAACTGCTTTTCCATCCTTTGGTTAGGAAGGCCAGACAATCAGAAGGCTTAAAGCAAGAGAAGTCTTAAAGGATGATGAATGAATCAACAGTGCTTCAACAGTGCCCAGTATAAGATAAATAAGGCTTATTTTCAGCTGTGAGTTATGCAAAGCTACTTTAGCTTTGCACAACTCACAGCTGAAAATAAGCTACTTTAGCTACTTTAATAATAAGCTACTTTAGCTTTGCACAAGAACAAAAATATGAGCATAGTAGGTCCTCTGTCAGTAATTCTTATCCTAAACCTTTGCCTCATGCAGTTGCATAAACATCTAGTTTCATATTTGTGGTTTCAGGATTCTGTTATATAAACATATTGCCATGTGTCATATTTCAAGAAGGTAATATCCAGCTCTTTGTATGTGTGTGGGTGTGTAACACTCATCCATATACTGCATTATCTGAACATTAATAAGGATTTTGACACAACTCTGTGTTTTATTCTAGCAGAAATTATGCTAGTTCCCAGTAAGTGTGTATCATTATCTGCTTTATGTATTTATTCATGAGATTTTGGCAGAAAATGTAAAACTGATATGTTTTTTCATTGTTTTTTTTTATTTTTAAAAGACTGTTAGTAGAAGATATGTTTATACGAGTGAGAAGGATTTGTACTGAAAGATAAAGTAAGTACAAAGTTTTATGATCGGCCTATTTTGGATTTTTTCTGACTACTGTAGTAGCAGCAATCACCCCCTCGACTTCCCCCAGATGCTGCTGCAGAGCTGATTTGGTGGCCAGGTGTCTTTGTCAAATGTGAACGTCTGCTGCCACTGCATGATTTATTTGTTCTAATGTGAAAGATGTACATAACGTAGTCCTCATTCTGATGACGTATGGGTTTATCGGTTGCTATTTTCATGATATTTAACAGCATAATTTGTAAAGTTTTACTTTGCTGTAAAAATGTAAAATGATTGGAGCTTGTTCCTCTTTGTATAGTGATCTTCCAGAACAATATTTGTTGGAACATTTTCCATGATGGTTTTTTTTCCTCTAAGGCCTCAGCTGCTTTCAACAACCTTTTTTTGCTGTGAACCTTTACTTCAAATTTAAGCCACACATGATTGAGCTGAACAATCTGGGGTCACTGTCTGTTCCTGACCTCATAAAGGTAGCTTACACTTGCAGTCTTCATGGCAATATAGAGACTCAGTTTATAACTTTTCACACTAACATCAGAGTGCCTCATCGTTCACTAAATTGTCTATTAAAGGATGTTCATGTTTGCAAAGTGGCTGAGGTTCTACTGCAAAAATGTGTTGTTGAACATGCCTCGTGCTTTAGCACATATACTGAGCATGCTTTATTGTATTAGATTTCTCCACCAGTTGAATTGTTTCTTGGGTTAATTGAATGCTATTTTAAGACCAGACTATTAAATATTTGATCTAAAAAAACAAAGTGTTCTTGGAATGTTTTTTCTACCGTTACAGTCGAAGACTTACAGTGTTGCGAGAAGATGCACTGTTCAGGCACTGTGTGAGAGGAGGTAATTGCTGTTGTCAGCCTCGTCAAAGGCAAGCCCACTGAATCGTGCCTGTTCACAAAACTTTGCTGTTGCTGTAATTGCGTGCACAGCCGGGATAACGTGAGCTTTCGGGCGCCGTACTGAAGGTGTGGGGGAGGAAAGTGGAGGAGCTGAGCGGCAGTCTGTCACAGCAGATTAATGTGACTATGATGACCTTTCTGCTTCCTAAATAACAAAACATGTAGTGAACTGAATCAAGCCGTACATGAACTGTTAATTAAACACAACATATGTTACGAAAATCTTTTTAATTATCTGTTTCCTTAATATACGCAACATATTTATAAATAAATAAAGTTTTATTTATATAGCACCTTTCAAGACAGAATCAAAAAGTGCTGCACATAAGATTACAAGTCATAAAAAGATTTAAAAAGAAATTACTAAAACAGGCAAAAAATTAACCAAAAGCAGTTTTAAAAAGGTGAGTTTTGAGTTGTTTTTTAAAAACAGCTACTGAGTCCACAGTTCTTAAGGTTTGTGGGAGTTCCACAGTCTCGGGGCCACAGTGGCAAAAGCTCTGTCACCCTTAGTCCTCCTCTTAGTATTTTTTATAGCAAGTAAGCCCTGATCAGATGACCTCAAAGACCTGCTAGGGACATCGGGCTGTAGCAGATCAAAGATGTAGGCAGGTGTCAGTCCGTGCACAGCTCTGTAGGTCAAGACCAAGATTTGTCAATAGAACTTTCCTCTTGTATGTTTTCATTTGCCCTGATGTCATTTGCGTTGTTTTTATGCTTTTGTGATTCAACAACCAAACACCTGAAATATATAATTTTATTACCATGGAAACATTTTCATTTGTATTCACTTAAATCCAACGGTTTTTTTGTTGTTTTGTTTTTCGTTTTGCTTCGGAAAAGCAGTCGGAAAATATCAAAATTAGCCATCAAACAGCAAACACTGACGCTGAGCATACAGCTAACCTACACTGAACCCTAATCAAACCATGATTCTAAATGGATGTCTCACATGAGCTAACATTTAACAACCTTATAAGATGATTTTCTGACAGATGTTTTCTGCATGACTCTGCTGCCCTCTAGTGAGCAAGAACAATAACGCAGGTGTAAACTCAGACCAGAATTCAAATTTTTTTTTTGTTGTTGTTGCTGTTTGTGTCTTTATAGTTGTTGTTGCACTGAATTTTGTGAGATCTGTAATAAGACATTTATCACCAAATTTATCAGTTAACCAAATTTACAACTTTTGAAATGCTATACCGAACACAAATATTTACAATAGTCTCTTAACTGGTGCCCTTAACTTGTTTTATTTTACTGTCTTAAGTAAAAGTCATAATCTCACTGTAGCAATCGAGCAACAGTTGTCCTAAAATCATCCCTAAAGTATTTAAGTTGAAATACTCAATATGCAGAATGGAACATTTGTGAACTGTATTTTATTATTGGATCATAATTGCTGAATTTTTTTTAATCTCACAGCTCGATATGAATTTATTATTTAGCTTAATTAAGCTTTGTCAGTAGTGATACAGTATAATATATGGCCATTTTATTGTGTACATCTTGCTAGTACTGTGTTGGACGCCTTTTTGCCTTAAGAACTGCCTTAATTCTTCATGTCGCAGATTAAAAAAGGGTTCTGCGAGTATACTTCAGATATTTTTGGTCCATGTTAACAGGATAGCATGACATACTTGCTGGATATTTGTCGGCTGCACATTCACGATGAGACACTCCTGCTATACCAGATCCCAGAAGTGCTCTATCATTGAAATCTGGTAACTGTGGAGGCCATCTGAGCACAGTTAAGAAATCATATAAGATGATATGACACATTTCCCTGTAGGAAGCAGCCATCAGAAGATGGGTACTCTGGTCACAAAAGGATGGACATGGTCAGCAACAGTAGTCAAGTCAGCTGCGAAGCTTACATGATGCTAAATTGATACTAAGGTGTCCAAAGAGTGCCAAGAAAATATCCCCACACCATGACACTACCGCCGGCCTGAATAATGTTGTTTATACCACATTGTGACTATCTGAATGTTGCATCAGAATCAGTTTTACAATCTTGTCTTTTCCAGTTTTGATCAGCAGTAACTGTATCCTCAGTTTGTATTCTTAGCTGAGGAACGTAGCACACCGTGTGGTTTTCTGCTGATTCTTCTGCTTCAAGGTCCAACATGTTGTGCACTGAGTGGTGCTGTTCTACAACTCGGTTGTGTTTATTTGAGTTACTGTTGCCTTCAGCTCCAAGCAGTCTTGCTATTCTGCGCTGGCATGAACAAGACCTTTTCACGCAAAGCTCGCTGGATATTTTGTCTTTTTGTACCACTCTCTATAAACCTGAGGTATTTGTGCAGGAAACTTCCAGTAGATCATCGGTCTCTAAACTAACTCTATTCTGATTTTCACTTTGAAGGTCACCAGCAGGTTGTCTTCACATTTTTTCAAATCTAAATACACCAAGGTGCTGCCATTTGACTGGATAATTAGATATTTGCATTGATGAGCAGTTTTCCAATGAAGTGGCAGTATAAGAAGGTTTATGTTTTAAAGTCCACAAAATAAAGAGTAAAGTTTTTAAATAAAACAGCACAATGCTGGCATAAAGAAATAACAGGTTAGAGGCAGATCATCACCTTCAGTAATTACTTGATTAACTCTAATAATTAAATTCCTCAACAGGTGCTATCCATGCTCATCACAGGTGTTGGGCACCATTAGATTACTAGGGGTCAACCCACACTTTTCCTAATTTTTTAGTTTTTAGTTTTAAGTTTAGTTTCAACCTTGCGCCAGTTAGTTGCACTTCCGCTTCCTTCCAGCAGATGGTGCCATTGACTCACAACTGACGCTCCACTCTCGACGTCGAAGAAGAGCTGCAGCCTCTCAGCAACCAGCAGAGACGTCTCTCTCTCCTCTCTCCTCTCCTTTGCTCAGCTCTCCTCTTCTCCATCCACTGCGGAACATCGGCCTGTTTTCTTCCCGTCCCTCCTCCAGCGGCAGACACCCAGCTCGTCATGGACAACTCCGGGAAAGAGAAGGAGGCCATGCAGCTGATGGCTGAAGCCGACAAGAAGGTCAAAGCGTCCGGATCCTTCCTCGGAGGGATGTTCGGGTAAAGGATGCTCTGATTCTCTGCCTCTGTTTACCAGCTCGTCGTGGTGGTGGGGAGGGGAGGGGGCTCTCTGCACACAGGGCCCATCTTCTCCACGGACAGACCGCTTTATTATGTCTATATTAGGCCTGTGATATACAAATAACGCGCCTGACGCTCAGAAGCGAACGGCACATGAGCCTGCATTGCACGCTTTTGTATTTTATCGTCACCCTTTAATTTATTCCTTATAAATCCCACCAGGTGCGCCTAACTTTCACTATGACATTGTGTCCCTTTTTTTTAACGTTTATAAACGAATCATGGAGTCGGCTTCATGCCAGAAACACTGGCTGGCACCGCAGATTGTGCATCTTGGCAAATGTAAATGTGGCACATCTCTGGATGGTGCTGATGCTGAGGATGCTGGAGGTGAGCGAGTTTGGATGAAGCGTGAGGCCGAGGCAAAGATGCAGGGAGGCGGGGAGAGCAGCGCAGGCAGGCCGGTGGTGATGCGGTGTTTGCGGGGGATGGTTTTCTTTTTGGTTTTTTGTTTGCTTTGTGTGTGTGTGTGTGTGTGTGTGTGTGTGTGTGTGTGGGAATGGGAGTGAGTTCGCTTATTTTACGCGTGTGGGAGGGGCGGATGTTTAGCCATCATTTTTGATATGATGTAACCATTGATAACAAACAGCCGGTTTGCTTGAGGCAACTTATTAACTGAGGGCTCTTTGTGTAATAAAGAAAAAAAAATAGAAAAACATGTATTCTGTGCAAAGCAGATCTCTCCAAATTCAAACCAGCCCGATGGCCTCTGAGATTAGTCTCTCCAAATCTGACTGTTTACTATCTCAATCTGATAAATTTGGGTCAGATGATTGCAGCCAGCTTCAACTCAAACAGACATGTAAAAGGTTGGTATAAGGAAACACTGTGAACATGTGCATTTACCCTAATTATCTTTAAGGTTTAGATGCTAAAATCAATTAATCTGCATGTCCTGAGTGTCTGTTACAGTCATGTTGGTTTTATAAAGTTATACATAAAGTGATATTTACGAATTTATCGTTATTTAAGAAATAAGAAAAGAAAAATGATGCAGGCTAATATAACTAACACAAACTGGTAACTTAGAAGAGAAATCATCTGAGTTTTTTTGAACAGGATCCCTGAAAAACCTTTCTTACTACACAACAGAGACGGATAATAATTTTATTTGTTTGGGGTTTTTTTTGTTTTTTGTTTTTTCAATTAATGGACTACTCTGAATATTTAAATTTTTGGTCCATTCAACTGACAGCTTGCATATTTAGAGATATAACATGGGGTTTTAGGATTTTATGATTTATGATCAGCCATTTTTTTAAGGAACATCTAATTAACTAAAATCAAACATAAGATTAAGCAAGTAATATGAACCTAGAAGCCATTAAAGTAGATCACACGACAATAAGTGAGCTGGCCAACAAAGCAGAACTGGTTATGGTAAATAACCATGAAAGAATAAGGAGGAGTAGCCACGATCAGACACTAAATCCCATATAGTCTTTTATGGTAAATGTTTATGGTTAATACCAGAGTACCAAGTCTGGCATACAGTATCAGAAAATACAGTTATATTATAGGTCCTAAATCTTTGTTTATATATTAGGGCTGCCACGATTAGTCGACTAGTCACGATTACGTCGACTATCAAAATCGT